CCTCCTCCTCCTCCTCCTCCTCCTCCTCCTCCTCCTCCTCCTCCTCCCTCTCATGGGATGACTGATTTTCCTCTCTTCTCTCCTCCACAGAAACCTGCTAAGGTCTTAAGACTCAAGGCGGAGGAGTGAAGACTCGAGGCAGAGAGGGGTCCTTGCCCCACCCCAGTTGGGAAAGGAGGAAGACCCCGCTCTCTGCCAACGGGGCCTCGGTGGGTGGCTGCCTCCCTGCCAGCACGACAGCAAACGCCAAGCCTTGTTTGTCAAATAAAGCGTAAATATAACCCAGCAAGCTAAACAGTTCTATGTGTGTTTCCTCATTCCTCTCCTGAAAAAGCTGCCGCCCCCGCCCATTTTGCTCTTCCTGGGTCGAGTGGTCCTTCCTCCCTCACAGGTACTCGGCCTGGCACTCATGGGGGTGTTGGCTCTTTGGGCCCCGGCCCAGCAGAACCTCTTAAGTCCCTCTGCCTTTCTAGCAGTAAACCAAAGGGGCTCACAAGCCCCTCTTAATTTCAAAATAAATAAAACGCTCTCACTCAAGAAATTCAAGAAAACGCACCCTGTTTCATCTCCTTCCCTGGAAGAGGCACCATCTGGAAATACTAGCTGAGAAGTTATTAAATTGTCCGACTGATGACTTGAAGGGTCGACGAGCAAAATCACTTTAATTGCACAAGATCCTGGAGGTCTGAAGGTCAAGCGTCACTTTCCCACTCTGGGTTGTGGTAAAACCGGGGGCCTGACTGGATCCAGGGCCCATAAAGGTGCCAGCCCATCTCAGCCACCGACTGTTGCTCTCCGGCTGCCTGAAGGAAGGTGGAGCGCCTGTCTTTTGAGGAGAATAGAGCCGGAAAAGGGAGCCGCTCCGGAAACGCTGCTTGGAGGGCACCTGATGGCAGGTGAGCTGTTGGGTGTGAAGAGTCAGGCCTTGTGTCCTGCCCGGTTGGGATTTGCAATATGGCTTTGAACGGCTCCAACCTTGCACCGCTCTCACTTTTGGGCTACTTTTGGGGAGGGGGCGGTCTGGAAGTCCCACAAGTCGGCACAGTTCTTCAGCTGCCTCCGGGTCATTGCATAGGTGGGTAAGCCAACCAGAGCTGCAGGAGCCCAAGAAGTGGAAAAGCCGTGCTTGAAATCGCTTTTATTCCCAATTCCCAAGGGGTCAGAGTTGGGGTTGCAAACGCCGGAAGGGGGACTCTTGTGTCTGACGGGACCCCCAGGCTGGCTCAGGGGGCCTCCTGGGGAGTTTTTCATGCTAGATTAACCGAAGGCCAATAAAGCATAGCCCCCTCCTCAATCCCACCCACCCCCAAGGGCGGTGCGGGGGAGAGAGGGGGGGGAATCAGCGTGTTATACCAACCCAGGGAGACGAGCGCGCTCCAGGGGAGGGGAAGGGGCTTCTTGAGGACCGCAAAGGCCACTCCCGTACCTGCAGGGGGAACAAGCAAGAGGCCCAGGCCGGCACCTTCAAGGCAGCGCGGATTAGCCTCCCCGCCCGCTTGCCCTTCTCTGTTTATCCAGGGGCGGCCCAAGGACACCCCCTCCCCCGGGACCCCCAGGGCAGTGAGGGCTTACCCACGGCGAGCACGGCCAGTCCCTTCAGGCGCACGTAAGCCCGGCACAAGGCGTACTCCTGCAGCGGGGAAGAGACGCCGCGCGGGTTAGGATCGCGGCCCACCAGCGGCGCCCCCCCCCCCCCCCCCCCCCCCCCCCCCGGCGCGGGGGGGGCCCCGCCCCGGCGCCCCCCCCCCCCACCCGCCGCCCTCCTCCCCTCCTGTTTCCCTCCGCCGGGGGGTCCTGCCACCGAGAAGCCAACCGCCTCCCTCCATCCCTTCCTTCCCTGCCCGCAGGCTGACCGACGCTTGCGACTTCTGGAGCTGCAGCGTCCCTTTGGAGAAGCTGAACGGACAGGTGGGGAGGATCCCCTGTGCTACCTTTATGGGTCTGGGGTCCCCTGCCTTCCCTCCCTGCGCCCGCGCCCGACCGCCAGCCCCAGAGTTGACTGCCGTTTCCCCTTCGCGCAGGAGGAGCCCGGCTCTGCCGCCGACAGCCTCTCCAGACTGCGGTGAGTTGCGTTGCTGGCCATGGTTCTGCTCCCTCCCTCGCTTCCCAGGACGGATCCCGCAAGGCAAGGAGGCCTTGCTCGCCCGCTTTCTCCTTCCCTCCTGGCTAGTTCAGCCGTTGGTGGCTCCCCCACTCGAGGCCGTTGAGCGGGAAGGCAGCTGGAAGGAAGGCAGCTGCAGAGAACTGCCAGGCCTGGCGGAGAGGTGGCGCCCTTTGTTTGTATGCAGGCCGAGTGGCCAGATCTGGAAGAGGATCCACTTCCTTGGCCTCCTCTTTTGGAATCGTTGCAATCCCCTCCCAGTTCTGCCTCCTGGCACTTGCCGGGCACTTCACGGCAGACGCCGGTTCACGCTTCCATTCTTTGCAGGGAAATCTTGCAGGGCCAGACGCCCATCCTCACCTTCCAGGACGGCAGGGCTACGCTTCGGGTCCAGAACGGTGACCAGAGTGTGACCTTCGACCTGGACAAAGCCTCGGTCCCCGAAGCCAAGAGGCAGCTGCAGGACCTCACCTTCGGCCTGGTGGAGCAGCTGCAGGCGCTGGAGAAACGCCTGGAAGGTGCAGCCCGGGGGTCTTGGAGAGGGCCTGGGCAGGGGGCAATGTGCCCATCAGGGAAGCAAAGCCTCTCCACCCCCGCCAAACTATTAAATAAAAACTAGGGAGCCGCAGCCATCAACGCAGAAAGAACTGGGGTTTTTCTTAGGAAAAGGGGCCTGGAGAAGTGCGGGGCTCAGTGGCCGTAAACTGAAGCGCCTGTTTAAATTCTGTAGAAATTGCTGCCCAAGGCAGCTCATCTGAAGGAACATTTTGCCCAGCCCAAAGATGGCCCAGGAGGTTGGGCTTGACCCAAAGGGAAAGGCCCCTTCTGGCCTGGAGGGTTCCTGGGCTCAGGGGGCCACCGGGGCCTCACTGCTTCTCCTCATCTTCCTCCTTCCCCAGAGGTCACAGCCACTGCCACCCCCGTGGCCCTCAGGAGCCCCGAGAAGGCCTCAGCGAGACAGAGACTCTTGGGAGCAGGTAAGATGCGGCATCCAGTCAGGAGAGTGCGCTTCCACCCCTCCCAGTCAAACCAGTCTGGAAGAGAGAGACGAAAAAGATGACGCAAGCTGCCCCCAGCCCCTCCCTTTCAAAAGATCTGGTTTCCCAGGTCAGAAAAACCAGTTGGCAGGAACCCAGTTGCACTCATGCCTGAACCTTCCAAGGGCAAAGGTGGTTTTTCTCAGGGAGAAATGGTCCCTGGGTCAGGTCTTGGCCAGTGTTGGGGGCCACCCTAAGGGGCCTCTCTTCTCCCTCTTTAGATGCCCCAAATGGCTGGAAAAGTAGCAATTCCCCCTGAATAGCCCCCCTAAATCTGGGTTATCCGAGGAAGATGCTACTGTGATTTCTCTGCGCCCCACAGACTTCAGTCCACGGAAGCCCAGAGGAGAGGCTAGTCCAAGCAAGCGGCGCCTGCCTGGCGAATCCCTCATTAACCCTGGATTCAGAAGGTAACGCAGGGGATGGAGTTGACCCATCGTGCACATCTCTGGGAACCTCTCCAGCGAGGGGCACATCTGCCTTCCGTGGTCCATGCCAATTCCGGAAACCACGCTGGCTGTTGTGGTTATCCGATAGCAGGGTGGACGGCTGAGGAGAGCGAGGACTCAGATGAGGGGCCAGGACCATTAGGGAGTGGATTGCTGCTTTCAGAGATTGTAGGGGCTGGCAGCAGCGATGAGGAGGTTCCCGAGGAGCCTGTGCCAAGTGCACGTGCGCGCAGGATTGCTCACAGGGAAGAGCAGCTGCAACAGCACGGGTGACTCGGGAGTAAGGCTGCAAGGTAATGGCCTCTCCTTCAAGAAGATAAAAGCCAGCTGTGGATCGGACGTTTTTTGCAGGAAGCAAAGACGTTTTGAAACTCAGCCTCGTGGACATTGCAGTATCTTAGTTGGTATTTGGAGACTCTTGTGTTGTCAAATATTTCTTATCTGTGATTCTTGGCAGCCCCGCACAGTTTTGGCGAAGCTCGTGCTTATCAAAGTTAATTAGTTTGCAGCAGCCTTTTAACCGGGGATTCGTAAGAATCATTCAAAGCAAAGGTCTCATTCTCGCGGCCTGCGGGCCAATTGCAGACCGCAGGACGATATCCTGTGGCCCCCACCGTGATATGAAAGTATAATATTAGTGTATAATATAAAATATAATATAAAGTATATTATGTGGCCCAGCCTCACCCAGACTCTGCCTCCAGCAGCCCCCAGGTAAATTGTGTTTGAGACCCCTGATTCAAAGGTTTCTGTTCCCCTTTGGTTTGTGGTTGTTTTATTGGGAAAGGGTTTGGGTCAGAACAGGGGCGTTTGAAGGCGGGAAGGATGCTCATACGGGGCTTCTCTTTCGCTCTAGCAAGAAGACCCCGACGGGAGTCGACTTTGAGGATGCCTGAACCGCTTTCTTAATCAAATGGGAAAGAACTGCTTCGTCACGGATGTTTTAAAAAAAAATTATTTAAGCCTTAGAACTATACCCAGTATATATTTTTTATATGTATTATATAGAATGAAGGGCTCTTGTTGACAATAAATGCTTGATTTTACTCACTTTCCGGTTTGTTCTTTCTGGGCCAAATTCTTTGCTCTCTCTCTCTCTCTCTCTCTCTCTCTCTCTCTGTGTGTGTGTGTGTGTGTGTGTGTGTAGAAGAGAAGTTGAGACTGGTGGGAGTAAATTCTACTGGTGTGTAGGGAGTTTAGACAAGAAGGAGAGAATATTTCAATTCTAACCGATTCTCCAGGGAAAGAAATCTGGGGTACAAAAATCGACGGATTTTAAATTCTCTGTTGATATATTAGCGTCTATTTAATTCTGGGGAAAAGACATTTAAAGCGTTGGACATTTGGGGGAGGAGGGTATTGCACTTAAAAAGAGCCATGGATGAAGAGAGGAGGTGGAAATGCAGACATGCTCTGACACACCTACACCCGAGAGCCAGCCAGGGTTTCTCACCGCTTCAGGTGAGCTCAGAAGCCCCCGGACTCACTTCAAGGCCATCATCGCAGGCGTGAAGGGAGCTGACTGTCCTCGCTCAAATCTTCTGGGCTGAGGAAGTGAGTGGAGCCCTCCAGAGAAGAAGAAAGGCAGGTTTGCTAGCCTGGGACCACCACGGCACATTGGCACTGCCAGTGCCGCCCAAGGGTTGGGCCAGGGCCCGGCTCCATTGCGTAGCACCCACTGCTTTGGCGGGAGGGAAGTTATGGTGATGCTGGACCCGCCTAAAGACCGTGCCCATGGGGGTCCCACAGATCTGGACCTGCCCCTGCTTGCTTCCACCTTGAGTGGCTCTGAGAGAGAAAGAAGAGGTGCCCACGGGGATGCCAGGCAGAGCTAGCCAGCCCCTAACTTTAACCCCCAGGGGGCTATTAGGGCTGCCTGACCACGCCGTGGTAGGCCTGGATGACCTCTTGGGGGTTTGGACAGGTGTACTGGTACTCCTTGGTCTCCGTAGCGCACTCCAGGTAGCGCCCGATGCCCCGCAGCTCCCTGGGGATGCCCGCCTGGCGGTAGTGCTGGCATACAACCTGCAGGAGAAATGGGGGGGTGGGTGGGACGGACACACACACAGACACAAAATCAGCACCTCCCGGAGCCGAGGGTGGCAATGCCATCCGTCCCTTAATTCCGCTGACTTTTGTTTTCAAGATGAACCCAAACCGGAAGGTCGAGATTCCTGGGATAACAAATTTTGTTTGTGCTGCCGCTTTGGGATAATTATGGCTCCGTGGAGGGTGGGGTGGCGGAAAAGCCTGCCCTTCCTTGAATACGTTAGGTGCTCCCAGAAGAGATGCGGGCGGGGAATTCGGCCCCGGGAAATGCCCCGGGGGTGCCCAGAGTAGCCGCTGGGGAGGGGGGGGGAGGAAGGGGGCTCTCCCGGTCGACTCACATTGACAATGTTGAGTTTAGGGAGCAGGTTGCAGTCGGCCAGGGTCATCTGGTCCCCATCCAGGAACCGCCGGCGGGAGATAACCAGCTCCGGGTCTCGCACCTGCTCATAGGGCAGAGGGTTGTTCAAGTACTGGTCCAGCTTACGCAAGGCCTTGAGGAGGGCATGGAGCAAAGCTGTGGGGGGAAACACCCGAGGGGTTAGCCTCTGGGGCAGACAGATAGACTGCTTCTAAGGTCGGGGCTTGACCTGCTACAGGCCTGAGCTTCTGAAGGTGCCCCCATTCTAACGGGTGGGTCTGTCGCTTGACCCCTGGCTGACATCCTTCTTTGGGGCTCTTTTGCTGGTGGACCCCTCCCTCACCGACCCACCCACCCTCCATTGCCCATCTGGGCTGCCACTCAACTCTCTGACCAAGGGAAGATTTTTGGCCTGGCTCCCCTGCAGGGAAGGGACTTTGTCTTGCCTTGCACTGCCCTCCCCCACTTTGTCCCAAGGTGCAAATTTAAGGGAAGGTAGCGCCCAGCGTCCAGGCCTCAAATGGAACCTCAGTGGCTCCACCAGGGTCCCCCCAAAAGGACTGGGACTCAGCGAAGGGCCTTGGCACGGGCTAGCTAGGGAGGGTGGGGGGTGGGGGGTTGTAGCCCAAAGCCCCTTCCCTCTCACTTTCGTCCTGAGCTGGTATCGGGTTCTTGATGTAGGCGGAGAACCTGTGGAAGATGTCATTCCCGGCTAAGGTGGACTCCTCGTACTTGGGTGCCAAGCTGGGGTACCTGTGGGGGTAAAGTAGAGGAATGCAGACTGCAGCGGCTCCTTGCCTCGGTCTCCCCATCCACACAAGGGGCAGAATCCTGCCTTGCCTTTGAAAAGACCCAAAAGAGAGCAGGCGGGATGCTCTTACTTCTCTTCCCTCCCAAGCCATCCCCAGAAAGACTTGGCTCCAGCCCCTCACCGGTGGGGTGGGGCAAGGGGGGGGCACTGCTTACTCAGGTGGGTTCAGGGTCTCCTCCAGGAACTCTTCGATCTTGATGGTGTCTGTTTTGGGCTCCCCGTCATAGAGCAGGACAGGCAGCTGGGCTCCCGGGGCAAAATCTTTCAGGACATCCGGGGACCTGCCAGGGAGGGGGAATCAAAAAAAGGGGGCTGAGCCTGGGAAATGGAGGCCCCCCCACATCCCTTTCTGTACCCCCACAAGGGACAATCCCAGGAGCTTTCTTTTTTCAGATGCAGCTGCTTAGCAGCCCCCAAACCCAAACACACACACCATGCAGTTTTTCTAGCCCCACAGCCCCAAGGTGGGTGAGGCAACAATCCCCATCACCCACCAGGGGTATATTTTGGGGGGTGGGGGGGAGGAGATCAAAGGGGAACTGCCAGAGGCAGATTCAACAATTGCCCACTCTCAGCAAGCAAGAGGCCGGCCCGTCCTTTGGCCCTTACCTCTTGGTGTCCACGGTGGTCAGCGTGAAGGGGACCCCCTTCAGCAGCAGGACCATGAAAACGCGTTGGCAGAAGGGGCAGTGGCCTATGGTCTCTCCATCAACGCTGGCCTGAGTCAAAGAGGGGGGTCAAGAGTAAGGCAGTTTTGGGAGGAGTAATGAGCTCCTGGGAACCCCAATGCTCTTTCGGGCAGACCAGGGTTAAACCGACATGCCTGGGTTTCCTTACACAGCATCCGCTGAACGTACGGGACTACCAATCCCATCCTCCCAGCCAGGACCGTGCCGGTGAAATAGATCAGCCAGCAGAAAGACGCTTTTGAGCCTTTCGCTCTGCTGTCAAAACTCTCGTTTCAGTCCAGTTTCAACACCGAGCGATTCCCTCTTCGTAGGCCAGTTCTTCTGGGGTCAGGCATTGATGGGATGGGAGGGTGGTTCGGCCGAGAGCCCCCCACCCCCCACCCCCCACCCCACCCGGCCTGGCTCTCGGCTGTGATCGGATCCAAAACCGAGGGGGCAGCGTTTCAGGTTGGCCGAGAGAGGCTCCCTCCGCCAGGGCGCCTGCCTCGGGGCAGGGATTTGCCAGTTTCATTTTGCGAAATGGGATTTGGGCAAAGCCTCCCTCTGAGCACAACTGCACAGCTGTGCGCAGAAAGATCCCTTCGGTCCCAAGTGGGGGGGAAAGGACCGTTGCAGCCTCCCCCACCCCCCGTCTGTGGAAAGAGAAGGTGCGCTCGGGACTGTCCAGCCCCTCCCTGCCAGGTGCACACACACCCCCGCTGGAGGGATTGCAGGTCCCCTCCGGCCAGATGTTGAAGGAAAAACGTAGCCAGGAATGTCCGGATGGCAGCTGGACCCAGAGGAAGCAGGGGCGATAGGCACATGGGAGACCCCATCCAGACACAACCTGCTCCAGGGCCAGAGGCTTCCCTTCAGCTTATGGGCTCTCTGGCAACTCGCTTAGCGACGAGATCGTGTGGGGGCTCTTCCTTTGGGGTCTCCAATTGGGGACGTTGGCCACACCACGGAGCATCCCAACCCAGACAGCAGAGGGAAGGAAAGGTGAGCCTTACCTTGACGAAGAGCTGGATCCTGGAACCCTCCGCCATCCTCTCTCTCGGCCCCAGCAGGTAAAGCTGCCCAGCAGCCGTTCGGATCTGCGTTATAAATCCGACACACCCTCTCGTCAGCTTCACCAGCCACATTCTTTCTCTCTCGCCTCCCAACGCCCTGTTTCCACAGCCACCCAATCCCGGGCACTCCCTAGTTCCTTGGGTGGCAGCATCAGAAGGGCAGAAGTGGAGCCAAGGGTCCCTGGGGAAGGCCCCCCACCCCCCACCTCCCCCATCACGGGGCATCACAGGCCGTGGTCCGCTGAGGTCCTCTGGGTTGAAAGCCGGCCGAAGAATCTGGGCACAACTAGCACTGGCATCAGGAGGGAGGAAGACGCCACCCTGCCTCGTTGGTTTGGTAGATATCGGAGTGGTAGGAAAGGCCGAGTTTTGCAAAGAGTAATTTTTTTAAAAAGGGGGGTGGTAGAAAAGAGATTTTTTTCCCCCCGCTACCACATTGATCCCCAAGGTCCATACTGTATATACTCTTCCCATCCTTCCCAGGGTGGGGTTGAATTTACAGCGAGATCCTGTGTGTGTGTGTGTCCAGGGCAATGGAGGAAGCCTTGCAAACGGCTGGCATGGGTCATTGGGTGGAGACCAGCAGGGACCCCATGTTTCAGTCCCCCCCACCCTTGGCCCAGCCACACCCCTCCCAGTGACATCTCCTAATCCCATCTCCTGGAAACCCCAGGCCTGGGGCAGCCAGAACAAGGCGTGTCTCCTTCTGAAAACAACAACAATGATGACGACCCGAATCCCTTGGCACAGCGCTCGCTGGTTTTTGGATCCTCAGAAGGCAGAAAGAGTGAGGTCCAGTGAGGTTCCGGGAATATAACAATAGCAACTGTTATTTCTGCACAGGAAGACAATTCCCCCCCCCCCCCCCCCGTGAGATTTAGGAGGTATTTCCCAGCGTGGGCGTAATTAAACCCTCGGCTGGATGGCTCTCTTGCAAATGCCAGCCTGCCACGCCCAAG